TTTTTTCTTTAAAAGCGTGTTTCATAGTGCCGTAAGTATCAAATTTCTCTTCCTACAGAATTAGCTACGGTCCAAATGATGTTTAGGCAGGCTGATAACGGCAACGAAACGTCATAGTACTGGCATTTTAGATAACAGTATTCGATTGCAAATAAGTCTATGTGCTACAAAGATACGTACCTAGCAATTTGCCAACTATGAACTCTGGACCTGTACAATGTGGTACTTTCTGCCTAGAAGACTTTGCTTTTCTAACAGCTGATATAGGCTATACTTATGCGTGCATAAAAGACGTCTGTAGTTTAAACCCCATTGCTCACTTCCGTGATCAAAAGAAGGGTACTCGCAGTTTGTTTATTTGAAAATCATTATCATATTTTGCTGGAGGAATCGGCGAATATACCTACAATTAATTTATATGAATGCCGATGAAATCTGACAAATCAAACTATCAGTGTTAAAGCGTAACTGCTATTCTACTCACACATGGCAAAGCCAGATAGAGAGTGGAAAACACAATGTTTCAATTTTAAAGCGAAATTTCATATTTGAACTCGGAAGGAGTTGCCCTGAGTGACTTTAAGAAGAAATGTCCATATAAACACTTGTGCGGACATGCTCCTTATTACAGATACAAGGTATCATGTTCGTTTTAAAAATCTACTTTTTCGCAAAAATGTTAACAATCCTTAATCCGATTCCGGTAGAATATGTTTAAATTTAACAAGCATTCATGCATCATAGAACAACCACAATCATTCAAGTACTTTATTGAAGCAATAAATTGTATATACATCCCCGGATTTAAGTCCGTGGCATTTACTTTCAACAGTTTGGATTTTATGTTTTATCTATCAAATTTATCTAAATTGGCCTTTTCTTAAATGATTTTGGTTAATTCTTCAGCGATACGTCTAGTCTTGCAAAAACAAATTTCACAACATCGGTTATAATTTCTCCAAAAAATGAATGAAAATGTCATTTTGACACCCTGTAATAAAAGCATTTCTCTAAATAAAATAACAGGTGTTTAGTTGATCCTTAATTTGACCTTGATATAAAGTTGGAGCTCAAATCAAGGTCAAGACGATTTTAAGATGGAACCCTATAATCCTGACACCGCTGTGGATAGAGCGAAAAATGATTTTGACCTTGTATCTTGGTCAAGGTCATTGTAAAAAATACTTGTTATTAAAGACAAAGTAATAACGACTCAAAGACAACGGGGTCTTCAATTTTTACTTGGCTATTCACCAGTGACCTTAACCTGGAAAAGTATAGAACGGAATACTTTTGACCCAGATACTATCTTGAGTAAAAGTTATTTTGACCGTTCTGGCCAAGGCTGCTGTGGAAAAACTTTCATTGGAAAATATTTCAGGGATTTTTCTAAAAATGAAGGTAAAATAAGTACCTCAAGGCAAGAGAAACTAAGCTTTTCACTGGAGTCCTTGAAACTGACTTTTACCACGACCTTGGCAGTGAAATCAGGATCTATACAATTTCTTAGCGTAGCACCCTATATTTTTGACCCTGAAGTGGATAGAACAGAAAATTTAAATTTTAGACATGACCTTGTGCAGGTACAATGTCAGAATAATTTTCACACAAGGTCGTATCTAAATGTAAGATTCTATGCTCGATCCTTTTCCGGGATCAAAAGTATGGAATTCCATCGAAAAAATCCTTGATTCGACCTTCAAGGTCATGCTCAAATTGAAATTCAAAGTCACCACTGAATCTTCCGGGGCAAACATCGCAAGCCCCCTATTTTAACCACTTGAATATTCTAAATATCTTGCCGGTCGGGTACTTCTGGATCTCACAGTTTGAACTTTTCTTAGAACTACCCGCGAAATCACCCTATGAAGTACCGTCCTACAGTACAATGTATAAGCTACATATTTCATTTGGAGTGGATCAAACATATAGAAATGATGGATAATTCAGAGATTCGTATTCGGTAAATCCGATGTCATTTTTAGCTGGACCAACTAGTCAAGAAAGTTTGGCTAGACACAAAGTGCTGGGTCTCATGTAATTCGGTTATGGAATATAAAGCTATTTGAACTAGAAATGGTGACTGTTACTTGAATTTACAAACTTGATCTTTAAATTCGGCCATATCTCTGGACATCACTAAATTTCATTTTTGAATTTGATTTGATATAACGTTGAGTGTAAGAATAGCTGGGTCTCACTGATGTGCGTTAATGAAGACATTCATAATTATAATTATTATTATTATCACCTAAACCTTTTTGTAAGTAAGATTTTCCGCATTGCCCATAATGACCATACTATTCCTAGATAGCGATGACTTAGTCGGCTGTACCATCGCATATTTTCCTAACGAAAGTATTAGATTTCGAAAAGTGGAACTTAAAAACACGTGTCGTTAAACAAACACGTGTCAAAGTTGAAAATGATAAATGAAACATCACAGGCGGCCCTGCTCTCAAACTTGATGAGGGTGGTAGATGGTGGTGTACTTTTCAGTCTAGCACGTACCAAAGAACTATAGAGTGAACTAGAAACAGAGCACACCATCATCATCCGCATGTTAGTTAGTTCCAGAATATTAAATCGGTTAGACATGCAAATGAGATGCACTAAAATTCAACGCAACATATAGCAAGACCGAAGGAGCGGCCATACCGGCCAGTTCTAAATGTCCACAACACACCAAGCTGAACTGTGTAGCAAAAGACTAGGAGACCTAGGACAAAGAGGTAACATGACAAGAATTAAAGGAACTATGTTTTAGACCGATCGAGCCCCGTCCAAAGTGCCATGTTTATGTAATCACGTAAAAGTGTGATGTTGGAGGATATAATATTTATTTAAAAGGAGTCTTTCGAGAATCTTCGTACAGTCTTCAATTGATTGCTACTGAAAATAGTATTTTCCGTTATTTTTTTCACGAAAATTCTGTTGGTACCTAAATCGCTAGAAAAGCGTAAGATCACTCATCGATGAAATGCCTCTTTGTGATTAGGTAAGTGTCATTAATAAATTCAAGTCTTCTGGATCGCATTCAAGCATGATAAGTATCGTGAAGGCAGCAGCTCTTCGAAGATGAGAGAGGGTACGCAAAGTCTGTTCGTGAAACTTGACATTGAGATCATGATTCATACAAAAGGGTCACCTACTCGAATACGAATGATCACTTTTAGCATTGATTAACGTATGGTACCTGAAGATAACCAAATTCATACAATAGTTGAGCGTCCAAAAGATTATCCGAGATGAAATGAGATACTATGAGAATTTTTCACGGCTTTGTTTCTCCTGTGCGCAATAATTACAAATCCACTTTGAAAAGGTCAGTGTCTCGTAGATGGTGCTACAATAGTCGATTTCCAGATCTAGACAGAAAACAAATATATTTAACTTTTTTGTTACTGGAGTAGAGGTTGTGTGCATACGGATTAGGAAATTAACTTATGATAGTAGGGGGTATATCTGGACGTTTTGAATAAAGCACCAATTTTAGATCGTGTTTGTAGAAATGCAAATATTATCAGAATGTATAAGTATGGTAGGTATGCTTCACAAATACCAAACGCCTCTCTTAGCTATCTCTATATATAGGTGACCATTCTAATTTTTTTACTAACCTCTTGGCACAAATATGGCTTAATTCACTAATAACTTAAGGAATGTTTTATTTCAGGTTATTAATTGTCCATTAATTGTCTGAATACACTTTATCCTTGAGGAATCCCAAATATACGGTTAAGCGAGACTAGATTGCATGATTCCGCAAGCTGATGGACCCCAGCGTTGTGAAAAAACACGCAGGCATAAGGAAAACCTGACTGTGGCAATGCCAAGGGTTCCATCGTCATATAAGACGCAGCAGCCATACATTTTTGAAAGAACATATATTGTAAAGATGCATGATATCCAACTGAGGCAGCGAAAACTTTATAGTAACGCTCACTGTAAATATTTACCGATGCGCTATCGCAATTTCCAGTGAGCGTTGAAAAATGACATCAAATTTAAATCCTGAAGTATCTATTGCGACAACCTTTACACGAAAGATATTTTTAATATGAAAAAGCTCTACAGTTACTGAACCGAATGAATTTTTAATTGTGCTATCAAGATGAATCTAAGGGCACCTAAAATCTCAAAATCCATCAAGCGGCTAGGGATGTAGTCTGTGGAATAGAAATATTAAAATTACAATTTTGGTATACCCAGTGTCACTCACACTACTAGGACGAATCTAACAACACTTCATTATGTCAATATCTATCAGCATCTGTAGCACATGAAATAGATTTTTTGATACAAACTTAGGCGCAGAAAACATAAACTTCTTTCTGAGAGAGTCACGTAAAAAGTATGCGATGTTACCTAATATACCTCGATTTCTCCTTAAACCAGAAACATATTTTCGCACGAGTCGCATATATCGCATATCGGTCGCACTTGCCGTGCGTCATGTGCTTGTAAATATTGCATGTTTGTTAGTAGATCCTGGGGACTTACAAAAGCACGTAGCAGACTGCTCGGTGATCCGATATGCACATACGAGGTGGGCGCTATACGATCGTGAAGATTATGCTTTTTATATAAATATACTGAGATTCTTGATTTCGTAAGGTGGCATACATTGTTGACAAACAGGGCTTCAATTAAATGGGGCTACCGCATACGGATACGCTTATTGCTGCACTCATCCTTCTGGCAAAATCCGCGTCTTTGTGATGTTATTGCACTACATGGAAAACTTTACTAGAAGTTGTTCTAAAGACGTGGGCAGTATAAAGTCAGTCTACTTGCCGCCATTTTTCAAACTAGCTATCTACTGCCTATCTAGTCGCGTTACCAGTTTTCTGGTCCAAGCGGATACAGTTTAGAAGGAATTTCAGAGTCGTTGGAAACTAATGTATCCGGAATTTATACCTCCGGGCCTTATAATGAACCAATTAAATAGCTAGAAATAGGGCAGATTCTTCGCAAAAATGCAAGTCCTCTTTTTTTAGAAACCGACCATATGCGAGACTGGTTTTTTTCAAGGATGTGCGAAGTTCCACAGGAAACTGTTGACCACCGATGGGAAGAAGTGATTTATTTTAGAATGAGACAAAACTGAAAATGGTCTGCCAATAAAAGGAACACATGTTGGCGGAAACATTATGTTGACCGCGTTGGTGTTAAGAGCTTTTAACGGAACTACAAAAAGTTTGATAAATCAATTTAAGACAGCTTTATTGATGATTTTTCGAATAATACTAGCATTTTGACACAAGTGATTTCCTTGTAGAGCGTGAAAGTAGCATTTTCTCACCCGCTGTGAAAATATATTGAAATAATTTTTCAACGTTAATTAACAACATAATGCAATAGTTTATTAGATTTTGAAAATTTCACAAATGACCATCCACTCTCGACGCTCAGAAACAACTGTTTTTAAATCCAGCAAGAGGACAAGGCTGGCCTTAATGGTGAAGTAATGTGTGACATGGCAGTGTAAGTGAATGCAAACTACTGAACTTGGAAACCGTTGGAAAATCTTTCTTCTCGATACTATATGGACGATTGGGCGATCTAGTGTTCATCATGTATAGAGAGAAGAGGGAGAGAGCTGCACACCAAGCCACACCTTATCCAGTATTCGCTCATAGTAAGAAGTTTAAATGATAAATTCTGAAGAGTATTTTCTAACTCTAAATATTCATACAATCCAGTTTTCCCCTTCAGTTTCGTCCATAGATAGGACAAGTTCGTGCCCTGACTCGTGCTAAATCATTTTCTCGGTGTCTTAATTCCCACAAGTCTGAATCACTTATTGGTAAAGGCAGATCATACTAATTGATGAATAGATGGAAGCTACTCTCAGATTTGGCAGGATGAGTTCTGAAAATATTGATTTTTACCATAATTCCACATTCCCAAACAGTGCCTTCATTTGTCAGATAGGGAGTCGCTGCCAACGTTTATATACAAATATATTTTTCACAAAAGGAACGAGAATGCATTAACTGAATAGATACTATAAATAAATAGTTCCGTACTGAATATAACTATTGATGTTTTCAGTTAACGTTCCACAATTGGCAAGAAATAAATATAAGCTTTTCTTGTCCTTTTCTCACCTTAAGAGATGGAGGTACTGTGCAACTTTTTTATGTTTTGTGACGGCTACAACATGTAGGCGTTGGCGTTATCTTAAATTTGTGGAGCAGTATGATACGGAGTCTTGATAGGTAATGATATTTCATCTTTGAAAATCGGTTGAATGGCACCAAAAAAACAAAACTGCTACATATCGTTTATAAACTTCGTTTTGTACGCTTCTGAAATCTCATGGGCGTAATTAATGTTTTTTTTTTGTTGAGAAGTTAAGATTTTGAAAAAATGTGAAAATCTAATTCCGTCACTTCTGACTTCTTCACGGTATTCCGTAGTCAAAAACATTATTATGGAGCTCAAAATGAATAATGATGGATAAACACCATTTATGTAGCAGGGATTTACAGTTTGCATGAATGGAAACTTTGAAAACGGGAATAAATGAATGCGTGGAAAGTTAAATTTGTTTACTAAATCATCCATTACTGAAACCGATTTCTATGTTTTGAGAGTTTCTGCCACTGCCGACAGTAACAGATTCTAAGAGAAATTATTCACTAGCATAGTTTTAATTTACCATGTTGGAAAGGTGGTTAATAAAATAGAGCAGAAAGAATGTTAGAGATAAAGCAGTTTTCAAAGAGATAAACCAAAAAGGAAGTGCACATCTGTCAAAATTCATCAGCTGATGCCTCTTTCCACCGCAAAGCCATCAGAAAAGTAACAAGAATCAAAATTATATTACTGGTATAACAATCATCCTACATCTTGAGCATTCAGTGAAATACCTTTCACCTTTCAAGGTCCTCCTATAGTCATTGTGCGCCTCCACATGTCCGTGAAACAAACTCACTCAATCTGTAGAGCTCGCTCATTGTCATTTCATGCCAAAGTGCAACTTAATTTCGCAACAAAAGACGGGTGCATCTAATAGGGGGCCATGGAAGAGTCGACAGTGTTGGCCGGGACAAAGAAAAAAACAAATAGCCATGAAACAACGTTATACGCTTTTTAATCTTGCCGAAGTTTAGACATACTAGCACGTTTTAGGCCAACCGTGAGGGTTGAGAAGTCAGTAGCGTAGGAATGGTGGTATGAAAAGAAGGAACATTCATTATCCTATCCTTAGAGAAATACGATTTTGAAAGCATTTTCTTTCCATTAATTTGGAATATCTTTTTATAGGAAGCTAACTAGCTTTTGCGAATGAAGGCAAGCAAATAAGCTATGTCTACACCCATTAATCTACAGCTCGTAAAGTGTAGGAAGAGATATGAGGATTTGCTGGGATTGCGCACACGAGAGGGAAAACGTATTCATACGTATAATACGTGCCATTCGATCTCGAGTGGTACAGTCTGCGTCCTAAATTAATCGAATAATTTCAATAATGGAATACGTATTATGTAAAGCCTGCTTTTATTAATCGAACTTGTTGGCAAGTGTCAAAAGGAAACCAAAACAATTTATTCCATAAAATAAGTATTGCACGCTATGTAGCTAAAGACTAAAACTGATTGGTACCCATTCAATTTTTAATTGTTAATAATTTCAATCAATAAACAATCAAATGAAAAGTAAGGTCAGAAAACTAACATCGTAGTAGATACAGTTGGAAATATTTTAAAGATTTATGAAGTTTCACAACGGATCAAATCCTGAAAGTTCGGAATCGGAATATCAGCTACTACTTAAACTTAAATCTTCGATTTTGCTATCGCTATCTTCTTCTAGGTTTATTATTATTTAATCCACAACTAAATCGAGTGCTGGTTCCATTTCCATATACTGCTTCTCAAAACCTTTGGCATGCTCACATCGCTTTTTCCATTCTTCTGTGGGATAAGACGGGAAAAAGTCGTCGCAAAGTTTGTCTTGAGATTAAAATCTACATTTCTCTCAGCCACATATTGTTTCAAAGATGGCCATAGCAACTCAATTGGGTTCAAGTCGGGGTGATATAGTGGTAATCTCAAAACAGAATGATCTTTTTTAGCCATTATTCTGCCTATTTCAAGTTATATATGCCGGCTTATGCATTTTGATAAGGCTAAAACAAATCATTTTCAACATGTCAGTGACATGTATGTTTTTTGCCTTAGCCATTCCTTCATATGATCCTTCTTAGAGCACATAGTAGGACATTTGTCTATCTGAACATTGTGGTACGGAGCGTTGTCTATAACCAAAACACTATTTGGTGGTGGGTTCGGAATCAGTTTATTCTGAAGCCATTTTTTATAGTTACTATAGCTCATCTCACTATGATAATCACCCGACTTACTACTGGACTTAAATTTCAGATATCCATTTTTCACGAAACCATTTTCACTACCAGCATGCACAATAATAAATCTTTAAACTGGCATGTGAAGGCCCTCATTGGTATTATCGCTCCAACTCTTTTCATGCGTATGTGATGTATGGATGTATGTTTCGTCCATATAAATTATAGGACGATTTTTTTCTCTATATTCCTTCATCCTTCTCAGGAAATTTCTCCCGAGATGCTGAGTCTCTGGTTTCTCCATAGGAAGTCTCCTATTAGTTCTTACTTTCCTCCGACGGAATCCCATTGTCCTCATCACCATCCTTAAAGTTGTGATCCAGTATAACTGTGTTCTTGAACGAATTTCCTGTGTATGGGCCGCCAAGTTGGAACCTTCTTTTCCGTTATGTGAAAATTCATTATAGATCGACGAAGCAATCTTCTATCAAAGACGTCGAAATCAGATGTTGGAGAGGCTCGTCTACTTTTTTGTTTATATCTCGAAGCACCTTCTTCAACAGATTTCATTTCGCGAGAAAACCCTCCTAGTAGTCGATAAACGAACTCCCGTGTCCATGGCTGCGCGCTCCTCAACTTTCTTCAAATCTTTAAGAGGTGTATTTCCTTCTGCTTCTCGGAGCGTTGAGCCGCTAGCTACTGCGCACCGAGAAAGCGTGACATTATTCAAAAATTCGCATCTCTTCCTACACTTGACGAGCTGTAATTTTTTATTGACTTTCCAAGTACGGCGCGCATCTCCCCTGACGTGACATTATTATTTTAGGTCAAAGGAGGCGTAACAAAAACTATTTCAGCAATCTCTGTTCTAGACCCAGTGTCAAAGTATGCGTGTAATATACATAAGTCTAAATAAACTGATGCATACAGCAAAATTCTAAATGCAATGAAAGATTTTTGAATATACGTAGAAGACACCACTGCACTGGTACCAGACATCCAGTAGAAATATTTTGTTGAAATAATCCAGTTTTTCCTGGTAATGAAATTGACAAGGAGGCACAAAAAGGTTAGACAAGTTTCACAATTTTAGGCGCCATAAACTACCAACCAAATATAAAATAGAAGTGAACATTCAGGCTCTATCCGGAAGTGTCATGAATTCAGGTACATTTAGCTCTCAAAATGACTGTCCTACCTCTTTTTGCATTCCTCAAATTCTGATGATTATAATCTTTACCTTCTTGCTTGTCATCAATTCATAAAGAACTACGTTAGGCGGAAGTTAGTCTCTTTAAACTAGCAACACATATGTACCGTAGTGCTGAAAAGTATTTTGTGGAAACTTATTAACTTACTCCTACGTGTTTGTAAATAGATACGGTTTTTGCTATTACTGAAAAAAGTTTGAATAGGCGTTCATAAGTATTAGCTATTCAGCTTCCAATGGTCAAGAATGGACAAGAAGAATCAACACAATCAGAAGTTGCTAGAAGGTTTAAGGTATCCAGGCAACTGGTCAGCACTTGAATAAGGCTTTTATTAATCATAAGACAGTGGAGAACCATGCCTCGTACTAGACTCCCGAAAAGACCACTCCCAGTGAAGATCGCATAATAAATAAGTTGTCAACAAGTGATGTCCGAAAGTTGGCAGTGCAAATAAAACACGAGCTCCAAGAAAATTATGATGAAAACCTACGCGTTTCAACTATGAAACCTCGACCAAGAAACATCTGATATCTGCAGAGAGGAAGCTTCGCCCTGC